GTCCGCCGACACCGTGCTTGCCCCGCTGCGGGCGGCCCTGGACGCCTGCCGGGCCACGGTGCAGGTGAGGCTGAGGCCCCTCCCGCCACCTCTGACCCCGCGGTGCAGGGGGGACGGCAGCCGGGGCAGCCAGGCAGGGGCTGCCGGTTTCCAGGAGACCTGAGGAGGGAAGAGAGCCGCCCCTGCTCCGAGGGCTCCCCAGAGCTGGTGGGGGCACATCCCCCTCACTCCCAGCTCACCTCTGCTTCCAGAAACAAGTGTGCAATGACATCGGGCGGCGGCTGACAGTGCTGGAGGACGCGTGGGCTCAGGGGAAGCTGTCGGCACCAGTGAGGAAGAGGATGAGCCTCCTGGTGCAAGGTATGGGGTGAAGAGGGCTGCAGCCTCACCAGCAGCAGGCCCTGGGGCAGAGGCACCCGCAGGACGGTGGATCCTGCGCCCCTGACGGGGTCCCCTGTCCTGGCAGAGCTTCAGCAGCAGCACTGGGATGCAGCTGATGAGATCCACCGCTCGCTTATGGTGGACCACGTGAACGAGGTGAGCCAGTGGATGGTGGGCGTCAAGCGCCTCATCGCCGAGACGCGGCAGCTGCCCACCGGAGAGACGGACGGCAGCGCTGACACCGAGCCCGCGACCGAGCTGGAGCAGGAGGGGCCCTGACACCAGGGACGGGGCTGTGAACTGTGAGCGGGGCAGCCCCTGCCCAGGGCCACCGGCAGGAACAGAGCCCCTGCTGCTGGAGGGAGTCTGGGCACCCCCTCTGCCTCCCAATCCTCATCCAGAAAAGGGGATTTTAATCATTGCGACATTTTAGTGGCGATTCATTATGTTTAATAAACAGCACCAACCTGCCCCTCCCACAGTCTCCCTGAGGGTTCTGGCACTGACAGGTCCTGGGGCTCCCAGGGTCAGCAGGAGATGGGATTGCTGGCTGAGGCCATGGCCGCTTCATCAGGCTTGGGGCTCTGGCCTTGGCAGGGTGCTCTTAGCCAAGTGGATGTCTGGGGAAGAATCACCAGCATCTGGCTGGAGCAGGCAATTCGGTGTGTCTGTGCTGCCCTGGCTGCAAAGCTGGGCCCCTCAATCAGCCCCAGAGCCCAGCCCGGCTGCACGAGGGGTGTAGACTGGCTGGGAAGGCTGATGTGCAACGGCCCCTGGCATGACCAGGGTTTGTGCTGCAGCCACAGCAGGGGCTCCCATGTGGGCTCCTGTCCTGGCACAGCTTAAAGCCGAGTCTGGAACCCAGGAGACCTGAGTGACCTCAGGGACATGGAGGTCCTGGGACGGACACATGTCCAGTCCAGTCAGGTTTTAACTGTGCTGTTCTTGTGTCCACGGGATGGCCCCGCCAGCTGCCTCCACCACAGCTGGGAACAGACCCCAAGGTCCTCACACCCCCCACCTGCAGGGTCACCCTCTGCACCCTCCTGGTGCTGCTCACCTCCCCTCCCTGGGGGCAAGGTCCCCGCTGAGCCCTGACAAAGACACACACCATGTTAGCACAGGGGTTTCACGGTGTTTATTGATCAAGCATGAGCTCCTAGGCAATTGCACCAGCCACTTGTGCTAGAGCCTGAGGTGTCACACGTCCATCCCCAGCATCAGAGAGGGCTGCAGCCAGCTGGTCACGGTGCCAGCACCTCCACGAGGCCCAGGAACAGGCCCAGCCATGGCCTGGAGACGAGGAGATGGAAACTCAGATGTCCATCTCAAACTGGTCTTGATCTGCAAGGGCATGGATGGATACGGGACCAGGGTTAGGATGGGGGCAGGCAAAGGGAGCAGGAGCTCGCCTTGTCCCATGCCCCAGGCGGGTGTCTGTGGGCAGGGGCCGCGGCCCTGGGCTGCTCACCTGGCATGGCCTCTTCGCTCTCATTCCGCTCCTTGAGCTCCTCCAGCTTGACGAGGCTGGACTGGGCCAGGGATGTGACACCGGGGGTCTGGGGCAGGCAGCAGGGAGGGGTCCTGGCCGCGGGTGAATTCTTGCACTCCAGCAGGAACTTGCGGTCGCAGATGATGCGGGTACCTGCCAAAAGCGGGGGCCTGTCAGGCACTGCTGGCCCTGGCCACCCCCGCCCCTGAGCACCTCAGCCCAGAGCAGGGGGTGGGAGCCAGTGCTTGGCCATGGCTCATGGACACACCACATCTGGCTTCCCACAAGGCAGCCTGTGACACCCGTCCTGCCCAGCAGCTATTCCCCACATTATTCCTCCCCTTCAGGCTCTTGGAGCTCTGCAGGATGCAGCACGGGGGGTCCAGCCTCCCAACATAGGCCACCCCTGAGCTGCCTGAAGGGCAGGGCCAGTCCTGGGGCAAACAGCGAGGCCCCAGCCTGCTGCCCAGGCAGCAACAGCTTTGTGTGGTGCCCTGTTCCAGGGAGGAGCAGCAAGGGCTGGGTATCGCACCATGGGCACCCTGGGGATCTGTTTCCATTGTCTCAGCCAGCCACCTGCTGCTCCCTGCAAGAGAACAGCTGGCTTGGATGGGACATCTCCTCCTCCAGCCTGCTGTGTGTGCAGTGTCCACCCGGGGCACACTCTGCCTCCTCCCCATGCTCCAGCTGCCTGCCAGCAACACCTGAGGTCACAGGAGCCTCTGTGCCACATCTGCAGCCCTGCCATCCCCTGCCCATCCCTCCCTGCAGCCCAGCACCAGGTCCCTGTCAGGCTCTGGCAGCGGGTGCAGCCCAGGGTTGCAGGGAGCCCAGAGCTGCTGCCCGAGGTGCCAGTGAGCCTGGGGCTCCTGCTGGGCACCGCAAACATCTTACACAGCCTGCCCTGCCACGGCCCCGCAGCACCGGGCTGCGCTCTCTCACCCCAGAGCAGCTGAGCTGAAGGCACACGATGGAGCCAGGGTGGGCACCTGTGGCTCAACCCAAACGTAGCCAGCCCAGGAATGAGGCACAGACAGCAAAGAAAAGAACCTGTTCCATGGCTGACCCAGGGGGTCAGAAGGGGGAAGGAGGACAGGCCTGGGGTAGCCCTGCCACCCAGGGCTGGTGAACTCAAGTGGGCACAGACTCTGGCATCACCCCCATGCTTTCCCTGGATCCAGCCAGCCTGCCCTGAGGGACCAGCACTGCACTCACCAGCCCCCTGGCACTGCCACCAGCCTGTTCCCAGAAGCACAAAGCCTTTGCCTGTGCCCCCTGTAAGCATGGAGCAGTGGTGGTCCAAACTTCGAGCAGGATCTTCCTACAAAAGTCTGTGGTTCCCTTTTCCACTTTAGTGGAGGCTGCTGGGGCCACTTGGATGTGGTGCCCAGAGGAAGTGCCCATGTCCTCAGGGAAGGAGCTGTGCAGGGAAGAGCTGACTACGTTAGGCTGGGCTGGGGTGGCCAAGGCTGTTCCACGGACAGCCCCATCCCCATCCTGGGTCTTGGCCACTGGTGTCACAGAGTGTGCCACCCACCCTGGAGCTGCAGCCCTCCAGGATGGGGAGACAATGGCTCCCCAGGAGGGGGCAGGAGGAGGTGGCACTGCTTGCTGCAGCCAAGGAACCCACAGAAGTGGGCACCCCACCCCTCCCCTGCACCTCACCCCAAGAGCACACCCCTATTGCACCACAACACTGCTTGTTTTCAATACAACTGCTGCTGACACGTGTCCCCTGCCCACACAGGGCGTTGGACTGGGTGATCTTTAAGGCCACTTCCATCACAAACTTTTCTGTGACTGATTCTATGTGTATGTCCTTTGGTCTTTGCACTACCACTAGGGCAGCAGCAGTTCAATTTTTTTTTTGCATTTTGTCCTCAAATACCAAGAAAAATATCTGAATATACCATCCAGTAGTGCTTCTGAGGTTGATTTGCCTGCGGTATGTGGATACTGCTTGTGCAGTTTGGATTTTCAGTACTTCTTTATGATTTTACTGGGGAAGCTCTGCTGCTGCATGTAAGGATTTGTCTGGATAAGGTGGAAGAAGGTGAAGACTCCATCTGGTCTGAGATTGATCCATTGGATTAGACACTATTATGTACACTGGAGTTTCCTGCTTAAGGAATGGCTGCAACACTCTGTGTAGTTACTGCATTGCTTTGGAGCAAAAGCAAAACTAAGCACAGTCCAAGTGCAGAAAGTGGAGAACTGGGTCGGGAGTTAATGTTCATCTTAAGCAGTGTGCGAAAATCCTCTTCTTCCTCAGAGAAAGCACTTGAGAAGCTCTAAGTGGATTTACAGCATTACAAGAAGCTTAGAACTGAATCTATTACATTTTTTCTCTAATGGGAAGCACTTTTCTAAGATCTGCTTCTGGGCAGGTGAAGGAACTCTGTGTTCTCCTGTCACTGTTGTCAGCCTTTCTTAGCAGCCTTGAGCAAAACCTGATCTCTCAGGTGAGCACCTGCCAGAAGTGCCAGAAGCAGCAGAACTATTCCAGAAGGAAAAAACTGTAACACAGAAGCAGGTTCACACCAATAAAAGGCTCACAAGTGGCAGGGGCAAGGACTCTGCAGACATCTGTGCCTGCAAACCCTCCCAAAGCTGACTGCACCCACGTGCTCAGTACGTGACCCTGGGGAGATGCATCACCGGGCACGGCAGCAGCTACTGAGGACAACAACATACAGCCCTTTCCAAAATTCTCACACACAACCTAGAAATGCTGTTTGCCTTTTATTGAGTATTCAGGTAAATATTTCACATTAATACAGGCTACATAAAGTAGAGCCACTATACGACATGAAATTTACTCAGCTTTTCCTTTTAAGTCTGTAAACAATTATACAGGTATTTACCACCCTAAAAGGTTGAAATCATGTCATCAGCTAATTCTCTGCTGCATACAAGGAGCATTCAGTAGTGTTTAGCCAAAAGCACTAATTTTGTCTGATTTTTAAGTTTGAAGTGGCTAAACTAAACTGAAGAACAGAATCAGTTTCTATAGGTAAGTCAATTTGTTCTTATACAACGGGCAATCGAGATTCCATTGTTACAGCCCACAGAAAATTGCTTAGTTAGGCACATGAAAAAAATCCCCAGGGTTCTTCAAGGTCATAAAGATTCCCAAACCAGGCTAAAAAAGGACAGACCCCCTTAAATCAGTTGACGTACTTGAGATGCATGTTTCCAATGTGAGGTGCCCAGGTGCCAGGCCAAATCTACAGCAAGAAATAAAAAGACAAATCTATTATAAAAACAAATAAAGGTTCCTTTAACAGTGTTTTACCACTGAGGGCGAGCATAAGGCTTCCCTCAAAATACAACCAGACTGTCCAAAGGCAGGAGCTCTCCAGCTCTGGCCAAGGTCTGACAACCTGCAAGGTGCTGAGTATGGATATAAACCCTCTTGCTTGTAACAGTCCATTACCTGGCTGAGCAGTCTTGAAATGCTGCTTGTTTTACCTGGAATAGCGCCATGGATATTTTATGAACACACACACACACACACTGTAGGGAAAAGTCATGCAAATAATCTCAATCCTAGTTTCAAAGATCTGAAAAAACCAAACGTGTCACCCAGCCAAAACTGGGTATCAAAGCACCGTATAAAGCCCCAGGAAAGCACAGGTGGGAAAAGGCAGCCACACTACCTGCTGAGCATCAGTACATTCTGTTGAGTTCTGGACAACTTTGATCATGGGATTCCAGGCGGGATCTGGAGTATGGAGCCCGTTAAAGAGGGGCCCTCCTGGGCCATCTGCCAGCTGGGGGTGCGAGGGTATCAGAGTGCCGCCGTACATGGAGATGGGCAGGCCCTGAGGGGACAAGAGAGCACTGGTGAAGGACATGGGCAAGGGTGGCTGTAGGACCAGACAGAGCCAGGTCACCTCCACAGGTAATGTTCCACTAGTGGCAGGAACCTCAGTACTGTCAGGGAACACCGGGGCAGAGGATGGAACACAGTGACTTCAGAGTT